GTGCATTTGGATCGTCAAATACGAAACCAAATAAGCACACACACACAAAAAAAGATTTTTTTGACGATGAAATTAATAAACAATATAGAAAACTTTATGAATAAAGAATTGTTTTTGTATCATAGACATTTTTCATAGATGAAATCGAAATAAACAAAAGTAAATATGTTTTGACAAAAAAAAAGAAATTTATATGATTTTTCCTATGTCGTCTTTCATCATTGATTCACTTTTTTATTTATTGCATCCGAATAAATATCTAAACACATCTATGCATTAGAACATCATTATAGAGGTTCGTTACTATGGAAACAATATAAAAAATGAGAATCGATCGTATACATACATTGCAGTTATAAACGAAAGAAACGACATAAAACTATGTCGCATATGTAAGTCAATATATCTATTTTAAATTGATGTTAATTTTAATTAATTTTAGTTCGTATAATAAACAATGGCAAGATGCACAACTTGCCATGGCCGATATGCTGGCTATCGAAACACCAGCACAACCACGGGCACCAGAAACCGTATGTTACGATAATGTATTTCATTATATATAAATTTGTTTTTACTTTATTAGGATATCAATGCAGCCTTTCAATTAGTAGCTACTATGTTTGTGAAATACGTACAAATATTTCGAAAATTAGAACAATGTTATGATCAAGTAGTACATCCACAAAAAAGACGATTAATACGAGTTGTTCTTGATGGTTGTATGGGAAGACTGCTTGAATTAAAACATGAAATGATTACTATGGATTATTCAGAATATCATTATTTTGATGATATTCTTGCAGATCTTAAATTAACACCAGTGAGTCTTTCTTCAATCATAATATCTGAAAAATAGTTTTATTTATTAGAATGATCTTGAAATTCCAATTCCAAATTATTTCGTACTTGAACGTGCTCAAGCAATTGAAAAACGTGAACGACTACTTGGTCAAATTTTAGCTCGAATGACATTAGATAATGAAAAACCTGATGGTACCACTACTATGTCAATTGATGATGCTATTCGAATAGTTCAAACTCATGAACGAGCTCGTCAAGGACGATTAAGAGCTAAACAAATACGTGATTTACGTCTCAATGATCAACGTGCACGACAACGTGCAAATATGGGAGATTCAAAAATGGATAGAGGGTTAGCAGCAACAATCATTCAAAAATATTATCGTCGTCATGTTGTACAAAAAGAAGCAAAAAAATTTCGTGATGAAGAATATATGTTTTTAGGAATGGTAAGATTTGTTTTGATATAAAAATAAAAAATGAACGCTAATATTTTAGGCAATGCCAACATTTCATAAAGATCCATTAAAACGTTTGCATGCTGAAGTTCGAGCACATGAAGATGAAAGACGAAAACGACAAGAAAAACATGAAATAAATTATCAACAATCATTAATAGCAACACGTGAAAAAATCAAACAAACAGAAGGACCTGATATGAAAGAACGTTTACAAGATCAAATTCGTCAATGGTTTATTGAATGCCGGTATGAATAAAATTTCTTTTCTACTATTTTATAATATTCTTTTTCGTCTATAGAAATGTTTCTAAAAAATTTCCTGATTTTCCCGATGAAGATGATGGTGGTTCGAATAAAATTTTTGAAAAAAAAACTGTAGCTGAAGTACAAGCAGATCTTGAAGCTGTATGATTTCTATATTTTATTTTATTAATCAATATAATTCATTTTTAGAAAATGGAAAGCAAAGGCAAAAAAGGAAAAGGAGATAAAAAAGGTAGTTGAGGTTTTCTTTAGAATTTCTTCATATCTATTTCTTTTTAGGCAAGAAAGGAAAGAAGAAGAAAGAAAAAAAAGGTAGAATCTTTATCTTTCGAAAAAATATCAAATAAAATTAAATGATTTATTTAAGGAAAAAAAGGAAAAAAAGGAAAGAAGAAGAAGAAAGGAGTATGTAGTTTGAAATAAATAAATAAATATATTGTACGTATTTTCAAAAGGATGATGATGAAGGTTGGACATTACCTGAATCGGAATTTGTCACTGGAATGATTAAACCATCAACCGAAACATATCAAAGTTAGTTTAATTATAAATTTTCTCAAATTTAATTGATTATTATGTAGATTTTTGGGAAACACGTGATGAAACACATAATTTCGAACAAAATTATGATAGTGAAATAGTTAAAGAAGAAAAACGATCAGAAGTTGTCGAAGAAATACGTGTTGAAGTAGATGCATTAATGCGTGAAGAATTGAAAAACTTAAAAGCTGTTTGTATTATCCATTATTTGTTAATCGTATGAATAAATCTTATTTTTAGGCAATTGATAAAACTAAAGAAAAAAAGAAGAAAAAGAAGAAGAAGAAGAAGGTAAGATTTCCATATATCGAAATTATTAAATAAGATATTTTTTCAGAAGAAGAAGAAGAAGAAGAAGAAAGAAAAAGATTTAACACCCGATCGTACAATAGAATCTTTGTATGAAGAACTTGTTATGAATCGTATTATAATTCGTCCACCAAAAGTTACTCTAAATGATTTTATTGGTGATTTTAATTATCTACCAAGTTTAATTCGTCAAGCTAAACATGAACCAATGCCAACAATGTCTGATGCTAAACAATTAACTGCATTATATGGAATCTTACCATTAGGATCAGAAAAAGTTCATGAAATAGCACCACAAATAAAAGGTCTTCTCATTTGTGGACCTAAAGGATGTGGTAAACATATGTTACTTCATGCAATTTGTAATGAATTAGGTGCGAATTTATTTGATATATCACCAAAAAATATTTTTGAAACATATCGTGAAAAAGAAGGAATAAAAATGCTTATGCATTTATGTTCAAAAGTAAATCGATTAAAATAATTGTCTTCTTGTTATTGTTATTCATTTGTATTTCAAGGTTGGAAAAGCTTTACAACCAACTATTATTTTTATTGATGATTGTGACAAATTATGGAAAAAGAAATTAAAACCTGAAGAAAAACAAGTATGTCAAAAAAGATAAAATTTAACAGATTATTCTTTATTTAAATATTTAGTTTGAACCAAAACGTTTAGGTAAAGCTTTACCAAAATGGCTTAAATTAATCAAACCCGGAGATCGCGTTTTATTAGTTGGAATAACAAATGAACCATATCAGGGTACTGTTAAACCAATGATGAAAGTATTTCCACGTTGCATCTTATTACCACGTCCAGAATATGGAACTCGACTATGTAAGAATTTTACTTTTATGATAGAAACAAGGTCATTCTAACGTTAGCTTTCAATTACTCTAACATAATGAAAGAGTAATAGACAAAAGATTGTACCGTTAATAATTAATGAGAAAATTTAACGTATTCTATTTAAATTTTTTTAGTATTATGGAAAACGTTGATACCGAAATATAATGGTATAATAACACCATCACTTGATGTAACATCATTAGCAAAATTATCTGATACATATTCATCCGGTCATATTCATGATACAATTGTTGAAGTTTTAACTGAACGACGTCTTGCTAAAATGGCAAAACATCCATTACAAGCAAGTGATTTTATAACTGGTTTAGCACATCGTAATCCTATATATAAAGATGAAGAAACTGCCTTCAAAGTATATTTTATTTGATTTTAAAAAAGAAAGCTTAAATGTTTTTTGTTTTTTTCTTTCTTATAGAGTTGGTGGAAAAAGACACCAACAGGTAAAAAACATGAACGATTTTTAGAAGAACAAGAATCAGGTGAAGGTGATGGTAAAGGTAAAAAAGACAAAAAGAAAGGTGGCAAAGGTAAAGGTAAAAAAGGCAAAAAAGGCAAGAAGAAGAAATAATAATCATCATCAATTTATTAATTATTTGTACACGTTTATTCTTATTAAAATAAATTCTTTATGTGCCATTAAATAACTTTAGTAATATTTATTTTCTTATTCAACAAAATAAAAAAACAAATGACATTAAGAGATTGTATCTGACTAGACTTTTTCATGTAAAAAAAGGTTTATGACGACATGATGTTTTTACTGATTACGATTGATCGATTGTCATCAAACAACGATAGGCACATGATGAGTATGCAATGTAATCGAGCGAATAACGATGAACTTGAACGATAATCACCGCCACATTCCAGTCATACAGTTTGTATGTGTGTATGTGCGTGTGTGTGTCTCATCATCTACCATTATTCTAGCGCACGATTAAACACATATATGATCATTCATTTCATCACGCTCATCGTTACAATCAATAACTAAATGTACTCTGGTCAATGAGATTCAACTAAAGAAAGACAAATCTTCAATTGTTTCTAATAAACAATCATCAATCAAATTGATCTATTTATCACCAAGGAAAAAAAACCCGATGAAGGGAGAAAAAAAAACATCAGTTAAATACACATGAGTAACAACTAAACAGAAAGCTTCTTTTACTTTTTTAATTGACTACCAATGTAAACAACATTTCGTATGCTCTTTTGTTTATTGAGAAAACAATACATTTCCTCGAACGAGCTAAGATACAATGTATTATAATAGCTGTTATTTCTTAATTGAATTGACAACAAGGCGTTGTCAAGAAATCACATTAGACCAAATAGATAATATAAGTCATTGTATATCCTACACAATTTTGTGACATACGTATATATATATTTATATAAATATATATATACTAATATATGTTTTTTGTTTATTCCTCATCTTATGAATGAACTAAAGCACCATGAATGAAAAAAACAAAAGGACCCTGAACGTAAAAAAAAACGAAGAAAAAGGCCCTTCTCTAAAAGAAGAGAAAAAAAATGAAACAGAAATAAACGAATAAACAAACAAAATGATCGAAAAAAAATGAACAAAAGAAAAACAGTCTTGACCAAAGACAAAAAAAAAGAAACCAGGGTTTTCAACGAGGATTAACAAAGAAAAACATACTGTTTACACAAAAAAAGAAAAAAGAAGAAATGGCGGATTGATTTTTGGCATAAGGTTTCAAGGAAGACACAGGGAATATTTAGCTGCAAAGTAGCGCTAGACTACTATTGCTATTACCATTTCCTTGTTGTATTCTATGTAGTTCTCTAACAGCTACATCAACAAGAAGTTGAAAACCGGCAAGATCACCACCTGTACTACTACTACTACTGCTACTACTACTACTACTAGTTGATGTTGTCAATGAATCAGATGAACAAATCAAACGTGTCTGTTGTTGCTGTTGTTGTTGTTGTTTTGAATCAGTAGATATTAGATTAATTACTGTCGGATCACGAATAGATTTAAGTACAACATGATGCCTCGTTGTCGTCGTCGTCGTAGGTGCTGTCGTTGTAGCACTACAACAAGGATCAGTAGAAGATGATTTATCTAATTGTTGTGATAATTGTTTATTGAGCACATTTGAATTATTTGTTAGTATTAATGAAGGTGATGAACTTCGTTCGACAATAACATTTATTTTCACGGGTGGTATTGATGATGAATTATCTATCACTGTTGTTGTTGTTGTTTCAGTTGAAGTATTTTCTCCACTTGTTGAACAAATAGCTGATGATGGTGATGAACGTTTTTGATCACGAGAAAAACGTCTTGATATAGTGAATTTTTTAGGATCAGTACCTTCTTTTTTTAATAAATCAGGTAATATACGTCGTCGAGCATTAATAAACCAATTACAAACTTGATTTATTGATAAATCAGCACGACGAGATAAATTAGCTTTTTCATCATCTGTTGGATAAGCATTATAACGATGTTCGTAAAGCCAATTTTTTAATATTCGAACCTATAATTAAAATCATAATGAAAAATATGTAAAAAAAAAGAAAAGAAAAACAAAATAAAATTTCTTTATCTTACACTATCTTTAGGTAAATTAGCTCGTCGTTTTTTTAATTTTGATAATGACGATGATGAATTAGTTAAATTAATATTTGTTGTTGATGATGATGATGATAATATTGAATTTGATGAACTATCAAGATCACAATCAGAATCTGTTTGTTCACTAGGACGATTTCGAATTTTTTCTTGACGATGATAATGATATGGTAATGTATGTGCTGAATTCATCATAGATGAACGATGTGGACTAACAATAACTTCTGCTGAATGATGGTAGATAGCCGAAGAATAAAATAGATCATGATGATTACAGTTTGTTGTCGATGAAGAAGGAGAAGAAGAAGAAGATGATGATAATGATGATGATGATGATGAAGAAGACGATGACGATGAAGATGAAGGTGGTAATGTTGTTAAAGTAGTAGATGGTGGTGATGAAGAAGAAAGATAGGAAGATGATAGTAGATTTGTCATTGTTTGATAGTGTGGAATTTGTTGTGAGTTATTACTAGCATATAAATCGTTTGACTGATCAATCATCGAAAATGATAATAGCGAATACTCTAAAATCAAAAAAAGAAAAAGGAAAGAAAAAAATGAACTCAATTGACGTTTATATCGAATAATTGAACCGTATAATAGACGAAATCAAGAAAATGGCCTGTCACAATAAATAGGTAAAATCAAATGTCATTACTCGATTAACGATTATCAAATAGGTAACAATGACAATGCACAATATATCGTGATTCTAAGACCATGTTAAATTATATGTCAGGTGCAGTG